TTGTAATAATGAACTTTATTTGAATATGGAATGATATACTGGGTGTCCATATTCCAATAAGAAAGTTGAGGTGCACTTCGGTGTGACCCTGTATACCTACGATTTATTCAATAGCGTATTTCGAGTGAGCATCATCAAATATACTGGGTGACCAAATCTCAAGTCATTCTATCGCGCGGTTGATTTTTAACAGGGGGAGATATTTTAGCTGGGATACGGTGTATGTTCAATTTATGTCGTGGATTTTCCTAATCTTCCATGTCTGTGAACTGTACATCTGTATATTTTAAATTTATTATTACTTTGTATTTTCCATACATGTCTGTACACAGGGTGTTGCGGAATTCGACCGACAACGCTTGATAGGTGATAGCCCTCGTGATTTCATAATCACTGAGATAGGGACATACGGTTTCAAGTGTTCAGTTCACGAGATACAGAGCGTTGAAGTTGAGAAATGAAAATAGTTGGCTCGCAATATCTCAGAAAACTTCGGTATATGGTTTCATCTTTGAATAAGACATTTTTTTACCAGGAAGCCATTTCGGACATTTTTTTCCAGTGGTTCCCTACAGGGGTTGTGGCAACTTTTTCTCCCATATTTTCTACGCCACTGATTAAATTTCAATTATTTCCAATTCATTGTTCAATTTTGTTCAAAAAATGCATCACCTTCAACTGAGCTGAAATGAACATTTTCGAGATATTCGCCCTAAAATAGAAGATTGCATAGTAATATTACATCATTTTCAGTAGTAGAAAATTGCAAAAATATTTTTCTGGTATTGAGTAGATTAGATACTATTCAGATATCATTCTGTAGCTGAACAGAAATAGTTATTCCACGCATAAAGAGACAACGAAAATTTTTGTAATTTTCTACTACTGAGGAAGATGAAAACTGTTCATTTTAGCTCAGTTGAAGGTGATGCATTTTTTCAATATAATTAAACAATCAATTCGAGAAATTGGATATAATCGGAATTTCATCAGTGACGTAGAAAATATGGGAGGAAAAGTTATCACAACCCTCTGTAGCGCACCTCTGGATGAAATTCTCGGAATGTTTTTCTGATCAAAAAATTAACCATTGAAAGATGAAACCATATACCGGATTTGAATGCATTATATTCAATTCTTCCCGAGATATTGCGAAAAACTTTTTTAATTTCTTAACTTAAACGCCCTGTATATCGAGAACTCAACACTTGAAGACCGTATGTCCCTATCTCAGTGATTATGAAATCACTAGGGCTATCACCTGTCAAGCGTTGTCGGTCGAATTTCGCAACACCCTGTATATTTGTATATTTTATAATGAGATATCGTACATGTTTTTCTGTCGAGGATTGTCATCGTATAAGTATAGTTCCTTTCTTTTTACACTCTTTTGATTTGTTGCTGAGACCAACCAGTGTTTTTCTTACTTGTCTTTCTCTTGATGGATTTCTTTGTAAGGGGCATTGTAATCTCTAGTAGTAAATAAAGTTTTTTTCTTTCTTTCTTATTGTCAGTTTTATCTACAGAGGTAAATTTTCTTCATCCTAGAGATTTATTAGATCTAACATCACTATACAAACTTAAAATAAGTTGTTTTATTCAATTTGTCCTATATGAATTGAAAATTTCGAATTTAAATTTCAATGAAATTAATTCATTACATAATCATGGAACAAGACAATCAAATTTACTGATAGCAAATACGTTTAAGTCAAATATCGACAAACAATCCATTTTTCACACAGTAATCGTTCTATACAACTCATTACCAAGTCAATTGAGGAATATACAGGAAACAACTAGATTCAAAATTAACTTGAAAAAATATCTGCTCCAGAGACTTTGATAATTCCATTTCTTACTTGAATACCTACTTATAAAAGACAAGGTTGATATTGCATGATTATTTGCATATTTTTTACTTATTATATCTTATTATAATTTCATAATTGTATGTATAACATTATGTATATTGTTTATTTATCCCTATTAAGAACAACTATGTTTCTTGGGGCAATAAAGACAATCAATATCAATCAATTAATGATTATTCACCTTGGTTCAGAAAGTGCTACTTCCCAATAGAGGAAATCCTTGAATAAAGGTTGAAATATCAAATCTTGCTACTGTATAGTCGTCTGATTTTTTAGATTCACAGCCCGTCAACCAACCTAACCTAACCGAATTATAGTATCCATACAAGATGCAACAAAAATTTTTTAAAATCACTTAAAGAGTTGTTGATAACAATCAAGTGTTACTTCTCATTAGAGGAAATCCTCGAATAATGGTGATTTCTCAGGTTAGTAGTGGAAAAAAGTCTCATTTTGACCACGACAATATGTCCTCAAAATATTTACATCGAATTCTGAATCACCCTGTTTTGTCAGATCATCGCCACTCACCGACTCAACGAGAACGACCGCGACCGGCTACGCGATAACCTCCGCAAAGGCCGCGGCGACCTGCTGCCAAGTCAAATATCGGCAAACAATCCATTTTTCACACAGGAATCGTTCTATACAACTCATTACCAAGTCAATTGAGGAATATACAGGAAGCAACTAGATTCAAAATTAACTTGAAAAAATATCTGCTTCAGAGACTTTGATAATTCTATTTCTTATTTGAATACCTATTTATAAAAGACAAGGTTGATATTGCATGATTATTTGCATTTTTTTTACTTGTTATATCTTATTATAATTTCATAATTATTGTATGTTAAACATTGTGTACATTGTTATGTATCCCTCCTACTATAAACAACTATGTTTCTTGGGGTAATAAAGACAATCAATATCAATCAATTAATGATTATTCACCTTGGTTCAGAAAGTGCTACTTCCCAATAGAGGAAATCCTTGAATAAAGGTTATTTCTCAAGTTAGTAGTGGAAAAAAGTCTCATTTTGACCCCGACAAGATGTCCTCAGAATACAGTTCTCAACAAACTAAATGGACCACTCATAATTTGACTCTATTTCGGAGACCTGTATTTTTTGAAAAAATGGACCGATCTTCATGTGGTTTTCGATATCAGATGTGATATTTCATCGGCTTCAAAGAGAGCTAGAACACTCTGAAAAAGTCCGCAGAACAAAACTCACACAGGGTGTAAAGTGAAACCATTACACTATGGCCTACATTTCCAATGCTGCCAGTATTCGAGAATTTTTTTTCTGATTAAAGGTCAGTCATATTATGATACACTGGGACCTCATCTCGGGACATTTTCGAGATTTCTTTTTAATTTGCCATTGGAACAAAATTCGATTTTTTTTCGAAAGTCTTGCATTTCTTGAACTTTTTCTCTAGAACTCCACTTGAGCTGACTATTGGGAAGAACTATTCTCATGTTTTGTGGAGGACAATGAAAGACGAAAAAAGCAGTTTTTTGGAATATACAGGATGATAAGGAGATAGGACAAAATCTCATTTCAGTAAATGAAATCAAAAATGGTGACTAAAACTATGGCCCATTCGATTCAGTATATTCAGAAACGGCCTTCTCGATATCCATTATTTATATTAGATTATTAACTCGAGACGTTTTCGAAAATTCGCCTCTAATTGAAATACAGGATGAAAATTTTCAATTCAAACTTGTTTCCTGATATTGATAATTCTTATCAACTGATTTCCAATATTTATTGCCCAAGTATGGCACAGAGTATTGTTGTTAAATATACTGAGTGTTTCACAACTTATCTGACAAATTTCAACCACAACTACGATATTACATGAGAAGTCTATCACAAAAAAATTTAATAGAAGTAAAACGAGATGGAAAATAAAATTTGTAACACTTTATATCCACTAAAACTATTCTAAAAGGGCTCTATTGGCGAAATATGACATTAGTGAAATCTTCAGCATTATGAAGATTCAACTAGAAAGTCCTATATCCTAAATGTCAGTACTTGGTAGGCCTCCTCGATTTAACAAAACCTCATGAAATTGGTTTTGCATAGATTCTATGGGGTTGTTGATGAAGTCTATTGATATTGCCTCCCATTCATCTGATACAGCTTGGATAAGGTTGTTATTATTTTGGGGTGCCTCTCGCCTTCTCAATAAGTTAAGTTTCATTCGGCTCCACACATGTTCAATCAAATTCAGATCTGGAGATATGATGCTGGTCACCACATTCTTCTAACATTATTGTTTTCTAGAGTTGGTAATTTGTCAGATAAGTTGTGAATCATTCAGTACATTGAACAACAATACTCTGTGTCTCATACTTGGGCAATAAATATTGGAAATCAGTTGATAAAATGATAAGAATCATCGATATCAGGAAACAAGTTTGAATTGAGAATTTTCATCCAGTATTTATATTAGAGGCGAATTTTCGAAAATGTCTCGAGTTAATAGTCTAATATAAATAATGGATATCGAGAAGGCCGTTTCTGAATATACTGAATCGAATGGGACATGGTTTTAGTCACCATTATTGATTTTTTTTTACTGAAATGAGATTTTCTTCCTATTTTCTTATCATCCTGTATATTCCATACAAGCGCTTTTTCCGTCTTTCATTGTCCTCCACAAAACATGAGTCAGCTCGAGTGGAGTTCTAGAGAAAAAATTCAAGAAATGCAAGACTTTCGAAAAAAAATCGAATTTTTGTTCCAATGGCCAATTAAGGAGATATCACGAAAACGTCCCGAGATGAGGTTCCAGTGTATCATAATATGAATGAGTTTTGATCAGAAAAAAATTTCTCGAGTTCTGGCAGCATTGGAAATGTAGACCTTACTGTAATGGTTCCACTTTACAACCTGTGTAAGTTTTGTTCTGCGGACTTTTTCAGAGTGTTCTGGCTCTCTTTAAAGCCAATGGAACATCACATCTGATATCAAAAACTGCATAAAGATCGGTCAATTTAAAAAAAAATACAGGTCCTCGAAATATTATGTGTGGTCTATTTAGTGTGTTGAGAACTGTATTTAGATCGAATTTTCGATCTTCCTGTTTTGTCAGATCATCGCCACTCACCGACTCAACGAGAACGACCGCGACCGGCTACGCGACAACCTACGCAGAGGGCGCGGCGACCTGCTGCCTCCGCCGACGCCCCTCCTCCTGCCAGCTGGCGGCGGCGACCGACTGTAGCTGCGGCTCCGGCTGCGACTGCGGCTGTAACTGGCGCGCCGGTAGCCGCGCTTGGCGCGACGCTTCTGCTCGTCCTTCTCGCGCAGGAGGCGGTTGAAGGCGGCCAAAGGGTCGTCGATGACCCTGGAAGGAGGAATCCAAGATTATAGTTGCGTTCTATTCCAGGGTTGGAATAAGTCATGACTTTTATACAAAAATAAAAAAAAACTCTTGACTTTCTGAATTGACTCGGACTTTTTGAAATAATCCACTTTGATTTTAATTATTTTTCTACTAGCATTTCAGTGTTGAAAGTCACTTTACCGCACTGAGTGCGGAAAAAAGGTTTTTTCCGCACTCAGTTTTGGAAGCGGCTAGAACTGCAAACTTGGATCTACTACCATCAAAATCCCGTCACAGGTATGAAAAGGAATATAATTTGTTTGAAAACTGGTGCCAGAATAACGGAATCAAGTTTCAAAGAAGACGTTTTTTTGACTTATTTCGCTGAAATTTCCAAAACATGCGAGCCAAACACTCTTTGGTCTAGGTACTCAATGTTGAATCAAACTAAAAAAAAACCTCGATTCGAGCAAGTTTTTCAAGGTGACAGCATATATAAAAAAACTAAACATTGGATTTAGGCCAAAAAAGGCAAACATTTTCTTGAAAGAAGAAATATTCCAGTTTATGAAACATGCAATTTCCGCAACACCAACTAAACCAACTGATTGAAAAGGAATTGATGAATTCATATGCAACTGATTACTTGATGAAACATATTGATGTTTTGACAAAGAAAATATCTCCAATTATTGGTGCATTGAGAAGATGTCCCAAACTTGATATTAAAGTTGCAAACATGATTCTCTACACTCATATACTGAGTCGTATCAACTATTTAATGAATGTTCAGTAATCTTGTTCAAAAAATAATTTGAATAACATATCAACATTATATAGAAAATCGTTGAAAGTACTGTATCGTCTCCCATTTTATACACCGACCAATCAATCGTATGAAATAACAAATACGTATTCTTTAGATGAAATTCATAGAATTGAAACTCTTAAAATTTCATATAATATCATAATCACTCTTCCAGTACATGCCATAATGCCCTGTCGTGCCCTCTGTGTGGCGGTAGTCTCGACATAAAAAACTGTAAATCTATAGAGCATACCTGCTCAAATTGTCTCAAATTAAATGATCCCAGTATTGCTACAAATCATATGGTCTGGGAAAAAGAAAAATGCTCAGTTTATAAAAAAGATTGTGATAGTTCAAGGAGAGATTTGCACGGATCGCAATAGCAAATAAGGACTGGTGTGTCAATTGGTGTATCTCAAGTAAATAACTCTGTTTTGCACTATTTCTCTATATACTATCAGAATGTCAGAGGTTTGAGGACAAAAACAACTGACATCCTAAATTCTATATATCAATCAAACATTTCGGTCATTGCTCTCACAGAAACATAGTTAGATATATCAATATCAAACAATGAAATATTTCCAGACTCATTTTTCGTTTATAGATCAGAACGTAATATGTCTGCTACTAATTGCACAAGGGGTGGTGGCGTCCTTGTTGGAGTCCACAATAATTATAAATCATCTGCTGTTGATCTGAATACAAGAACCTTCCGAGATCTAACAGCTAGTATTGATATAGTTGCCGTCCAAGTATCGTGCGACTCAGGGTCTTTTTTTTGTGATCAATGTATATGTATCTCCAAATGTATCTCTTGTGCACTTTGAAGGTCTATTTCTTGCTCTCGAATCGATAGAGTGTCTTAGTACACCATCATATTGAGCTTTTACAGAAAAAACTGTCAAGCACCATATTTCTCCTCAGACAACTCAGGATTATCATAAATTCTGTAACTTTAAAAACTGTCTACTTTTCTTTATTTCACAGTCATATAAATTATGGCGTTTTATTATGGGGAAACTCTTCTCATGCTCCTATCATATTTCGCCAGCAGAAAAAGGCAATAAGAGTAATGGCCAATGCATATTATAGAGAACACTGTAAAACCTTATTCATCGCATATGGCATCATGCCATTACCAACTTTGTTTATCTATAACAATCTAACATACTCAGAACTCATAGTGATATTCATGACCATGACACCAGACATGCGATGAAGATACGTAATCCTCGGTTTAGACTTACTGTATCTCAGAAAAACTCCTTGGATTACAACATTTACAATATATTGCCTCATAGAATTAAAAATCTCTGTTTCATCAAATTTAAGAATAAAATAAAGCAATATCTCCTGGAACATTGCTTCTACTCACTGGAAGAATATTTTCAGACTGATCATGAGAAACTACTGGCTTGAGTATTAATATGGATGAAGTCGCTATCAATATGTACCTGTATTTTATATTTTTTTCATATTGTTCTCTATTTTTAATCTGTATCAATATTTTCATATTGTTTGTCTTTCAACTTTTTATAGTTCTAACTCCTTGACCTGCTACAAATGTACAGTGTACGTAATGTGGTAAAATAAAGTATTCTATTCTATTCTATTCTATTCTATTCTATACTAGTAATGTCATTATCTTAGGTGATTTCAATATCCCACAGTATTATACGTATCTGAAGACTAATCAAGGAAATCGTCAAACATTTTGAACAATTTCTCTCTTATATTCCACATGCAACAATTTAACTTCATCGTGAACACTAATAATCATATTCTTGACCTAGTATTATCCAATAGTGACTGTTCAGTAGAGAGGTCCTCTGAACCTTTACTCAAAGAGGACATTCACCATCCATCGCTCTTAATATCTGTTAAATTAAAATTCAATGTGAAATCACCATTTCCTTTGGTGAACAACTACAGAAACTGTTACAACTTTCGTAAAGCAAATCTACAGCATCTATATCAAATGATTTCTACTATTGATTGGACTTTCTTGGAAGCATTTCAAGATGCTGATCAAGCTTGCACGTATTTCTACGGAAAATTGTATAGCATTTTTAATGAGTGTGTACCAAAATTCACTAATGTCCGTAAAAGAAAATAATATCCTCCTTGGTTCACTAGGGAAATAATAAGAGACATTAGAAGAAAATCAAAATGTTTAAATAAATATAAACAGAACATTGATACAACAGCCCATACTGAATTTAAACGTCTCAGAACTAAAGTCAAACTAGACATAGATAAATCATATAAAACTTATATCCAGTCAATTGAACACGAAATTGAAAAATAATCCTAATAAATTTTGGGCATTCATTAATAGCAAAAGAAGTACAACCAACGTCAGCGATAATATGGTATATAACGGAACTAGTCTCGACACACCAACAGATATAGTAAATGCTTTTGCTGATTTCTTTGGAAACCAATTTCTACTGTATGACTACCGGTCCCGATCATATCCCAGCATTTTTAGTTAAAGATTGTGCCACGGTACATGCTGCTCCTTTAACAACATTAATAAATATTTGTTTGAGAACTGAAACTATTCCTTCTAGTTGGAAGATTTCTAAAGTCTGTCCTATATACAAAAAAAGATAATCGACTTGATGTTACTAATTTCAGACCTATCTCTATTATCTGTAACTTCTGTAAGGTATTTGAAATCCTATTACAAAAAAATATCTACTTTCAAGTTGAGAAAAGCCTTTTTATTCATCAACATGGTTTTATGAAAGGTCGCTCTACAACGTCTAATTTATTACATATCACTTAGCATATAGCAGAGGACCTGGATAAACATTTTCAAACAGACGTAATTTATACAGATTTCTCCAAGGCATTCGACAGACTTGATCATGGTATTTTAATGAATAAACTGTACAAAATTGGTTTCTCCTCTCATCTGTCATCAAGTAAGTAATATATTGAGTGCCGTGGTCATAGGTCAGTTGAATATCATGCTACATCTGGGGTACCTCAAGGGTCAAATCTTGGTCCTCTGCTATTCAACATATTCATCAATGACATTCTGGATGGTATTAATGTTAATGGTTTGATGTATGCTGACGATATGAAAATATTCCACAGAATTTCAGATACTGCTGATTGTCAGTTATTACAAGATAATTTAGATAAAATCAATGAATGGTGTATTTCCAATAAGCTATTTCTTAATCCCGGGAAATGTTTTATAATGTCCTTTGCTTTAAAATCTCAGATTGAGTTCAGCTACACTATTGATAATGCTGACATACAGAGAGCAGAAACGTTCAAAGATCTGGGGGTGGTATTTGATCCAAAACTCTCATTTGTACCTCATATCGAACGAATTTTGTCAGCTGCCAGCAAACCTTATGGCTGTATTGTTCGGTATCGGACAGAGAGGCATAATAGGAAGGACCTCCTATCAATGCAGACATTGCTGTCTATACGGACGGCTCCAAAACTGAGTTTGGATCAGGAGCTGGTATTTATGGGGCCAAGCCAAAGACAAGAATCTCACTGAGCTTAGGTAAATACGCGACGGTGTTTCAGGCAGAAATTATTGCAATACATCATTGCGTGAAAGAATTGATAAGGCAAGAGTTTAAAGGCAAAACCATTGCAATCTATTCAGATAGCCAGGCGGCAATCAAAGCAGTCAACTCTATGCAAGTTAACTCAAAACTAGTATGGGACTGCTTAGAAACCCTAAATGCACTGGGCAGTCAGAACAGACTGACTCTAGCATGGGTACCAGCACATACAGGGTACGAGGGCAATGAAGAGGCAGACTCACTTGCCCGAGCAGGAGCAAACAAAGCTCTGAATGGCCCAGAACCCTTCTGTGGTATTGCGAAAGCTATACAAAAGACTAGTATCAAATCATGGATGCAAACCAAATCTCAAGAATGGTGGAACAAATCGCCAAGAATGAGACAGGCAAAAGAGTTTATTAAAAAACCATCGCCAACATTCACAGAATATCTACTAAGCCAGAAACGAAGTTCAACTAGAATACTAGTGGGACTTCTCACAGGGCATTGTAGGCTCAACAAACACATGAGTACGATAGGTCTGACTGAAGAACTGCTGTGCAGGTTCTGTCAGGAAGAGGAGGAAACAGCAGTACACATACTTTGCCACTGTGAGGGCTTGTCAAGACTAAGGTTCCTTACGCTGGGTGAGGAAAAACCAGAAGCCCAGAGATACACAGGGGATCTGAAAGCTAGCCTATGGAGTCTCATAGAGAAGACGGGGCTAGCCGAAGAACTCTAATCGATTTTGAGGGCAGACACAATAGATCTGAAAAGGTCGCGGTGTGGAGGCAGATAGCCCGAAGGCCCCATTCTAAATCTAATCTAATTGTTCGGTATTCTAGAGATTTTAAAGACATCGCGACTCTCAAGAGCCTGTATTATGCATTTGTTCGATCGAAGCTGGAATATGCCTCGATAATTTGGAGTCCTCATAATACAATTACTCATATCGACAGCCTCGAATCAATTCAGCGGCGTTTTTTAAAATTACTGTCTTTCAGAATAGATGGCGAATATCCTGAAATTGGCATTTCACACAGAACTTTACTTGAGAGACATTCATTCAACAGTCTGAAAACTCGAAGAGAGTATCATTCTGATGTTATTCTTTTCAAAACAATCAATAACCTATGCGACTACCATTATTTGACATATAAACTCCAGTTTCACGTGCCAAAAATTGCGTCCCGAACAGATCAAACCCTTTACTTGCCTATCCCACGCAGCACAAATGTTTGTAAAAATTCTCCATTACAAAGGATCTGTAGGAATTATAATGACCACTGTACAAAAATCGACATACATCATACATCGATTCCGCAAATTAGATCGTTCTTCTTTTGTATCCGGCAGTAGTAAACTTACATACTCATATAACACTATGCATGCTACTTTCGTAATGTCATATATATCCCAGTTTGTAATTATATTCATTCTGTAAACAAAGTAAAGTAAAGTAAAGTAAATGAATAAATAAACAAATAAATAAATAAATAAATAAATAAATAAATAAATAAATAAATAAATAAATAAATAAATAAATAAATAAATAAATAAATAAATGAATAAATAAATAAATAAATACTGAAATTCATAATCATGAAACTAGACAATATAACTTATTTCATCTTGACGCCGCTAGCTCCATAGTCGGACAATAGTATATTACGTAATATGTGTTGTAAGAAGCATATTATGCAGGAATGGAAAGTGTGTAATTGCGTAATTGCTTTACAATAAATAAAACTGAGCGTAATATCGATCCTTGAGGTGTACCCCACATATTTTTTTGGTTCTACTTACTTTCACCAAATACGTGTTTTCTTTCACTCAAATAATTTTGAAACCACCTATAAACAATACACGTAAGGAGTGGTAAAAAAAGCGAATGGATAATAATATTTGTTCATTTTCTAACCAACCGTGACATGAAATCGTATTCAGTAAAAGAAAAAAAAATATTTTTGACTCACCCAGATGGTGGTCTATCCATCATTCTTCGAAAATCTCTATGACCTCTAGATCCAGGAGGAAAGTTTGAATTGAAGTTGGGTGGTGGACCACTCATTGGAGGTCTACTAGCATCAAACATAGGTCTTGGTGGCACATTATAAGGCCTGGAAAGAATAATTTGTTAAAAAGCAAAACTTACATGTTTCATTCTACCAATCTTGCAGACGATTTATATTTACGGCCACATGTCTTTGGAACACATTTCTACTAAATTCAATGACAATTCGAAGATCATCCTCAACTTTTAATGAAGCCAAGAGTCCATTGTTATGAAACTAGACAATTGAATTACTTGCCGAACATTGATATAGATCCTGTATTCCATAATGAAATAATTTTATACAACTCATTACAGAGAAACCCGTTTTTTAAAACGTTTCTAGGGAGATTGCTATTTGTTTCCAAAAGCAACTTGTTTAAATCTTGACGATTGCGAATTTTTGATAATACCTAAAATTTTTGTACAAATTTGCATTACGGTACATTTTTACTTACTGAAATTTGTCAAGAATAATTATCTCTTTTTATATAAGTCGAAACACACGGTGTTTCTCAAATTGGAGCGATCCTTGGGGTGTTGAACGAGTCATAATAAAACAATAAATGGCAAACAAATTGTTTTTGAGGCAGTCCAAAAGTTTCGATAATTGTGTGATTTTACTCACGATGGTTTGAGATGCACTGGTTTGATGCAGCAACGCTGAGACCGGCTGCGTCAGCATTCGCCTCGGCAGTCGCACTTCCGCACTGTTGCCAGGTTTCAAATTATTTTGGAATAGAGACACTGAATAGAGTCATTTCATTTCAGAACAACAACGTTCACGATTTTTTGATAATAAACTGATTACAAAAAATGTTAAAAATAAGCGCCACTTCTCTTTATGCAGAGTCTCGAACGAAGTAGTAAAAACTCTCAAGCACGCTGATAACTATCTTGTTGGTGCATTTCGAGAATCACGTTGTCAATAGAGATCTGTCAGTGACGTTATATGCTGTTAAGCTGTCGGCAATTGAACAGCTGATGGGGGGACAACCATAAACATTTTCCGTCATAGACCACGAACCAGGAGTGAAATCTAGCGCCTCAGAAGTAGCCACAAAAGTGACATTGCAGGTGAGTTGTTCATTCTGCATTGAAATGGAGACCGTGCGTCTGCCGGCCAAGAGTGGTCACTTAAAAACGCTACTAATTTCGAAAAAGTGCCATAATCGACCTAGAAGCGCCTCATTATTACCTATCTGCTCTTTCCATGTACCATCCAGTCCCACAATTCCTACCCGTCTCATATAATTTTTTTGGTTTTTTTAGTAGAAACTGCTCTAGAGCTGTCGCTTCCAAACAGGCAGCATTCCATCGATGGCAGAAAAATCCAGGCCCTGAGACTAGAGCAGAATATGTCTACTCTAGAGGCATATGCAATGAGGCAATTCCATCATTAAAGGATACTTATAATGCCAAAATAAGATCAAAACTTGTTGAATGTCCTAACGGATCCCGTTCATTTGGGTTCTTCGCCAGGGCTGTAAGAAGAAACTTCACTTCCAGCTCGTTTTCTCCCCTAGCCAAGGAAGATGAAACACTAGCCACAACTGCCTAGGAAAAAGCCGAAATTTCTGCGCATTTATTTGCTGGAAATTCCACTCTGGCTTCATCGGGAAAACAACCTCCAAACATGAAGCCAATTGAAAGTCATATGCACGAGGTCACCTTTCGCGAACGTACTATACGGAAAATTTTAATAGGTCTCAACACCAACAAAGCTTGTGGCTCCGACGGAATCCCACCGATTGTCCTCAAGAAATGTGCTCCCGAACTAACACCTGTTCTCTGCAAGTTGTTCAACTACTCTTACAGATTGGGGATATTCCCGTCCAACTGGAAAATTGCAAGAGTACAACCAGTTCCTAAAAAAGGCAAAAAGACCCTACCTAGCAACTACAGACCGATCGCACTGCTATCTATTATTTCAAAGATCATGGAGGAAGCTATCAACATCGAGCTCATGAATACCTGGAACATTCAGGTATTATCAACGATAGGCAATATGGCTTCCGTCATCAGAGATCAACTGGTGACCTGCTCGCTTACGTCTCACATAATAATATATGGCAGCAATCTATTGAAAAATATGGTGAAACCTTAGCCGTGGCACTTGATATCTCCAAGGCATTCGATCGAGTCTGGCACCACGGACTCCTCGCCAAGCTTCCATCTTATGGCTTGCCTCCCCAGCTATGTTCTCTTCTAGCTAGTTTTCTCTCAAACAGGTATCTCCATGTATTGGTCGACGGAGTTTCATCTGACTCTCTTATCATAAATGCTGGTGTTCCGCTAGGATCAATTCTAGCACCAACACTATTTCTACTCCATATTAACGATGTTGGAAGCAACTTCATGTCCAGTACACAGCTTCGCGGATGATAGTACCCTCCATACCGCCTTCTCTACCAGCCAGGCAAATCAGAAACGAACGAAGGAGAAATGTTGACAACATAAATATGGACTTGGCAACAATAATCCTCAAATGGGGATCCAATAACTTGGTAGATTTCAATGCAAACAAAACACAAGCGTGCCTTTTCTCTAGAAAAGCCGATCTCACTGTGACCAACATAAGCTTGTCAGGAGTAACCATACCTTTAAGGACATCCATTTCGATGCTTGGTATTACTATCAGCAATAACCTTTCTTGGGAAAATCACGTGAGATCAATTGCTAAAAGTGCATCTAAAAACTTGGTTTTCTGTTTTGGGCTAGGAGTAACTTCACTTCCAGTCAGCTGCTCATGATCTATAAGGCACAGATCCGACCTGTCCTGGAGTAATGTTCCCATATTTGGGGGGCAGCACCCAAACATACTCTGAAACGATGCTCTTCTGAAATATCAACAATTGTTCCTCCCTTGGCAGTCCCCGCGAGATTAACCTGTCGAGTTGAGGCTTTGCACCCCTTCGTGATCACTTTGGAGACCTGCAGAACATCTCTTTCCAAAGACTCGTTCATCCAATGAACAGCGAGGCTCTGGACACATTGCCAAGGGAGGTGTTCCCCGAGGCATATGAACTCCAGAAATTTAAGAAGAACACCAATTCCTAACCCCTTTCCCATGGTTCTCACGATGTTCTCTTAGTCTAAGATCCGAACCTAAATCGACCTTCACCGAGCTGATAATAGAACGAAATATATTTTATCATGAATTTAGTATATTAGAAAACATATTAAAAATGGGTTGGCTAAAAAAATCCTGGGCTGACTATTTTTAATTATTTTTCGAAACATTATTTTTAATTAAATGTTGCAACATCAGGATAATAAAAAATTTTTGTCCTGACTGAAAGTATAAAACGTATAGAATGTGCAGCCGTTGGGTTGTTTACTATTTACCAGGGCGAACTGCTGGGTTGTCAGGTAAACACAGGTATATCGATGCCAGTTACTTTCACTGGATTGGATAATTAAAAAAAATTTATATCATCATAAGCGCTGTTTAATTGCGAACACGTTGATATAGGGTTGTCTGCGAAAATTCCGGTCCTATTAGGGGTTTGCGAATTTAAAAGATTTTAATTTCAACGCGCGTGGAAGTGTGTGACAGAGAGATCCGAGGTAAGTATACTGTGTAATAATAAAGGACCCAACATCGCAGTCGCTTGTGATGGGACCCTGAATAGTAGAAGGTGTGCGAAGTCAAATCCTGAAAACTATGGTTGGCATTTTGATGATTTCTTAAAACCAACAGGTTTTATCGGAGATCAAACTCCTTTTGAAAATCCAGGACATTGTCGAAATGGAAGCAAATGAGGAAGAATCTAATGAATCAGACGAATTCGAGAGTCAAAATGATACTTCTGATGAATCAGATATTGAATAGAAAATATTTATTAGAATTTATTATTCATCAATATTACTTTCGTATTTATACTGTTTTTTAATAAAATTTTGAATCGTAATACAAGATGTCTAGTCTATCTTTTTTGTTATTTCTTAATTTAAATTTTTGGCGGTCCAATTTGTTTCTATTTTCAGAAAGAGCAAAAAAAAATTCAAAGTAAGTAATTGATATTTTTATTGTCTATTATAGATTATAGATATATTATTATGGTTATAACGCAATATATTGATATTATATTGTTTTTATATATTAGTATTATATTAAATATATTTAATTATAATGTAATTAATTAATTTTTTTTTGCTACTGAAATATATCAGTTGCTCCAAAATAACACGCACTGTTTACTATATGAAGGGTAGTAGAGGTACCTCTACCCTCCATAGTTTTCACACCGAGCATGCGCACTTTCTACTATTCAGGGTCCCATCACAAGCGACTGCGATGTTGGGTCCTTTATTATTACACAGTATACTTACCTCGGATCTCTCTGTCACACACTTCCACGCGCGTTGAAATTAAAATCTTTAAAATTCGCAAACCCCTAATAGGACCGGAATTTTCGCAGACAACCCTATATCAACGTGTTCGCAATTAAACAGCGCTCATGATGATATAATTTTTTTTTTAATTATCCAATCCAGTGAAAGTAACTGGCATCGATATACCTGTTTTTACCTGACAACCCAGTAGTTCGCCCAGGTAAATAGTAGACAACCCAACGGCTGCACATTCTATACGTTTTATACTTTCAGTCAGGACAATTTTTTTTTATTATCCTGATGTTGCAACATTTAATTAAAAATCATTTTTCGCAAAATAATTAAAAATAGTCTGCCCAGGATTTTTTTAGCGAACCCATTTTTAATATGTTTTCTAATATACTAAATTCATGATAAAATATATTTCGTTCTATTATCAGCTCGGTGAAGGTCGATTCAGGTTCGGATCTTCTACTATCTGAACATTACAGGATATCCCTTTTCGTGGGAAACCAAAACATATGAAAAAGGATGAAAATACCGCCAATCTGATTGGAATTTTGTAGTGAATCTAGAACTTAAGCGTCTGCCGGTTGATGCTGTCGCATTTTCGAAGCAGACAGCGTTCAAATCGAGTCACAAAAATGCCGTCCAGTTCCTCATAAGCATCATCTGAATTTTTGCAGAAAATCAGTTTAGTATACACTGGATTTAAATATTTTAACCGAA